GAGTTCGGTGCAAAAGTTTTGGGGCTTAAAGTCTGGAGACACGAATATCTGTTCCACCGAGGTTTCAGAGCCGGTTCCTTCATTTCGAACCAGTTGTTTGCAGTTCGTTAGCCAAAGAGCCGCCACTCTGCTGGTCTAGAACTGCTCACAAAAGGGTTTTGGGTGCCATCTTTAGGGGGTTTTCCACCAACAGGAAACCGGCTCCGCTCCAGTATCACTTCCACACACCTGGTTCTGAACTGTTCTGAGCATTTAAACTGAAATTAAACTGGTTTGGAACTAAAAATAGCAGATTTTACTTGGGAACTAAAGTCGGGGTCATATTTTCCATGTTTTACACTGTAAATCGTTTTAATTAACATAACTTAATCTTAAGAAAACAATTGTTGAATTGTAGAACTGAAATCTGTAATCATCCTTCAGAGAAACTAAGAGATACTTTTATACTTTGAGTACATTTCAGAGGCTGTATTTTTTCACTATCTGTACTTCTACTTGATTAAACATGTGGACTTTTACCACCATGGCTAATTTGTCCCAACTCGTAACGTCGTGTTCGAGCTCAGCCTGCTTTGGTAAACGTTAAAGACCAACAGCATCATAACGTTGAACACATACGGACATAATGACATGTGAGTCCAGGATGAAGGGGGAACTGATTTGTGAAACTTTGGGAGGCCTCTAAAATATTGACTATATAATAATAATATACTCTGCCTCCAGAATTTAGATTTTTGGGTTGGTTGTGGCCTAAATGTCTGATTTAATGGCAGCCTTTCTAGAAAATTGTGATGTTTTTAGGATTTTTTCTGCAATGAAATTGTGTGAGAACATGAACAAAAAATGTGAGTTAACTTTTGTATAATTCATTAAAAATCAAAACCAACTGGTTTCAGTGAGAATAAAACCGACTGTTTGGAGGGTAAATATTTTGGTGGTTTGAATCTTCAACTCTAGAAACAACAAGGTGAGTTTGCTGATGTATGAGTCGACGTTTTGTGCTGGAAAACTACGATTATTGGTTGAATTTGCAGAAAAGTTGCAGTGATCGGACATAACTGCGACACTGTGCAAGGAATTCACAGAGATTGAGGTTGAATTTACATTAATTGTTGTGATTTCAGCTTCCTGGAGGGTCTGAAATCTGCTTTTTTCACTCTGAATTTCTGTTTTTCTACATCGTCGTTATCATCATGGATTATGTGTAAACTTTGCTCTCACCCGTAGACGTTAACCCAACCCTGAGCTAGCTTTGGATCGTGTTGATGAAGAGGAGGTTAAAGAAGAGTACACAGGACTTTTGATTCAGATTCAGATTCGTGCTCGCTGCTCGCACAGGCCCTCCTCCAACCTCCGAGCAGATAAAGCTCTGGAAGTGGGACAGCGGCTATTTGGACAGGAATTAAGGGGTGTGTTAAATTTCTGCATGCATGATCAATGGGGTTGAATGGCGGGGATGTGGATAGGGGTGGAGGTGGAGGAGGAGGAAGAGGAGGAGAGAACACAGACAGAGGCAGCCAGCAATGGCTCACTAATGAGAGATGGACAGTGTGGATTGTATCTCATTACCAATCAACATAGCTTTGAGTCCTCTGGAGAGGGAGAATGCGAGCTCTAATGTGTGCTGCATGTGGTCCATTTTGATAAACCCGGCCTGTGTGCCGGAGCATTAGTCACAGCGGTATCTGAGCCGCTGGAAATCCACACACACTGCCCTCTGTCCGTTTTGGTGGGGAGTTTTCTCTTGAATAGTACAATGGGACTTAATTACAGGTCAGCGGCATGTCTCAGGGAGATAGAGGGAGCTCTGTTACCCTTCCAAATACAGTATAATGCCATCTTCCCAAGGGTGGGGTGGGGTAACAAGAGCTCCACACAAAAAAGGTGCTGATAGGCCCGAACCTGAGAGCGGTATAAGGTGATCCAGGCAGAGAAAGTGAGCGTTTTACACTGAAAGAGGGAGGAAAAGATAAAGGGCGACATTAACTCTCTAAAGGGGTTCTCTCCCATTCAGTTTGGCCTCTTTCGTCTCCGAGACGCTTCCAACTAATCACTCCGGACAACAACGGGGCGGATCACAAAGAAATCTTCAACTCTGATAAATAAAGACAAGTGTAAACAGTTTAAAGCCACCTGTGGAAGCTCAAACACACTCAGAGTTTCCTTTTAATGAAAGAATAAAGTCAGAGAGGCTTTAAAAACAACAATAAACAACAATAATGGACATTATATTTTAATTTTGTGACATTTAGACAGTTTTATAGTACACATATGTTTCTGTGAGAGTACACAACTTTATTTACGTAGCATCGGAGTTATTATAGTTTTAATTAGTTTATATTTCAGGGTTTCGTCGTTTCGGTTTAGTTTTTATTGTTTAAAAATGTTTTTTAATAATAAAATAGAGGGTAAGATTTAAGAGGGAAAATCAGACAATATTCTCCTTTTCTTTGGTTTTTTATATCAAAATACAAGTAATTTTTTCTCCTGTCAACAAAATGTGTCACCCCTGTCAATCAATCTCAATTTTAGCGACACAGAGTTAAGATTCATTAGTTAGCAAGCGGAGCTCACTCAAATTACTGTACAAAACACACAACTTTATCAAGTGATTGGGGGGGGGTAAAGATATATTTTATTGGAG